GTCCCCAGCCCCAAAACACACCAGCTGCCACTGGGACATGACCTAGACACAGCCTTTGTGGGGCCATGTCTGACACGCAGGCAGGAGCGTTCCCACAAAAGCACTGGCTCCGGGGACACCCTGCTCTAGGAGGCCAAGGGTGCATGTGCCCGAAGCGCCTGCACCCTGACCCCTCCTTACCAGCACAGCTCTGCCCATCTGCCTGCAGCGCCCAGCCGGCCCCGCAGGAGCACTGCACTCCCCAGTGCGTGTCAGCACATGTCTCTGCGCAGCCCCCGTTGCGTACAAAGCAGCTCCGACCTGTGGGGACACGGCGGAGAGGTGACGTGACACAGGACATCTTTTTTTTTTCCCCAGCCACATGGGTGATGGCCAGCAGCCACACACAACTCACCGCACGTGCTGGGCTCGTCGGTGCCGTCCAGGCAGTCATCCTCGTCATTGCACATCAGGGACTCCAGGATACACTTCCCCTCGTCGCACCGCACCATGCCGGGTGGGCAGGGGGCTATGGCACACACAGCACGTGTCAGGAGGGGAGACGGATACCAGATGGGCACAGGGGAAGATACCAGATACCAGGGGAAGATACACCGATACCAGATGGCCACAGGGAGGCCCCGCAAAACATCAACAGGTTCCTGGGATGCTTGCCACCAGCCCAAGGGGAGCTGGACCCCAGGAAGGCAAAGTACCCCCTGCTTCACACAGGGCCTGGTCAGGTCTCACCCTGCGGGCTTGCTTACCGCAGACGTCTTCATCCGAGGAATCGCCACAGTCATCAATCCCGTTGCACTTCCACTCGGCCATGATGCATACCCTGTTCCTGCACTGCCACTGCCCAGGCAGACAGGGCTGCTGGGGACACCCTTCTTCATCCCAGCCGTCCTCACAGTCCTGGTGCCGATCACACAGCTCCCAGTGCGGGATGCAGTGGTGGGTGCCGGGACACTGTACCTTCTTTGTCCCACACACTGAGGGAACAGAGCGACACCCTTGCTCTGCTGTGCCCCCAGCCACCCCCCACTCCGCCCCCCCAGCAGAGACCACGTACCACAGTCGTGCTCGTCAGAGCCATCCAGGCAGTCGGCCACGCCGTCGCAACGCCAGCTGCTAGAGACACACCGGCCATCATCACACTGCCAAACGTGGGGGTCCCCACCGCAGGCAA